GCTTACGTTTGTCAGTGATCTTGGAACTGCTGTGTCAGCACTACTTACCTTTAATGATTCAGTGAACAGTGGTCGAACGCTCTTCACTGTTTTACTCAGAGTGTCGTGTTCACATACAGGCAGTGTGGTTTTTGCCTCATGACTGAGATGCCCTGTCACAGCCAACCAGAGAGGCTCAGTCTTTGCATCCTCTCAGCATTATCATTGACGCATTTAATCAGAGTGGCTTTCGCTCTCTGTCCAGCTTATTTAAACTCAGTGCAGCTTTTGAATCGCTGCCCGGGTAATGCTTATAGTAGCTAGCTGCGGTGTCCCTGGTGAGTCTTATTGCTATGCTGCATCCTTATTCATCGATTCCTGTGTATTTACCACTTGCTTTGTTTCCTGGTTATCCATGTCTGCTGCCTGCTCTGAGATTTGGCTTTGTTTCCTATTTATCTGTGTCTGCTGCCTGCCCTAATTGCTGGCTTGCTTCTGGTTTTCCATATCTGCTGCCTGCCCTGATCTTGGTGTGGTTCCTGGTTATTGGTGTATGTTGCCTGCCCTGATCTCTGGCTTGTTCCTGATTATCTGTGTTTGCTGTCTGTGCTAACCTTTGGCTTGTTCCTGGCTATCCATGTCTGCCCTGACCTCTGGCTCGTATCCTGACTATCTGTGTCTGCAGCCAGCCCTGATCTCTGGACTCTTACCTGGTGACCTATTCAGTTCCACTGTTATCGTTAGTTTACCTGTCTGCTCTAGGCCTACTTCCTGGTGTCTTCCTGAATTGCGGTCTATGGGGCTTGAGTATAATGAACTCAGGGATCGCAACCTGGGTTTACCATGTAGCTACACACCCCCATGAGGGGGTTCCTGGTGATTACCAGCTGGCTCTTCAATCCTGGGCCCTGGGAATCCTGTGTCACCTGCTCTCACTTTGGACCATCCTTGTTCTTTGGAAAGTCCTGATCACCCAAGTCTTATCCATTCTAGCAGAATTCCAATCCACGGTCTCACCTCTTCCAGTGAGATCCAGTGTGGTTCTTATTCTGCAGAGCCAGCCCCCAGGTCTTTCATGATGTTCCAAACCATTGCTGCTTCTCACATAATGGAAGCCCGAAGCCTGAAAAAAAAAACCTTTCTTTGTCAGCTGTCAGATGTAACCTGCTTTGAAAGTTTGTATTTGCTCATTGAAACTGTAAGTAGAGAGAGCAAAATGTAAAAAGCACAGAAAGCAGAAAGAGATAAAACAGTAGAAGTGGCAGGAAACACACTCCTTGTGACCCTGTGAGATGCTTTCAGGATTCTGGCTCTGGTGGGTCACAGAAAACTCAGGTTAAAGTGTATCTCTAGCCAAAACCTTTTTATCAGTTTTATAAAGAGCTGAAAAAGCTAAAACTGGACAAACACTGAGTGAACTTTGGGCAGTCCTTAAAGGAGTGTTCCAGGTATAGCATCAGCATTGTAATAGGAATGCATTCTAGACTTGTTATTGATAATGCAATCAAAACTTTTTTTTTTTTTTAAATACCCTTTATATAGTGAATGGTGTGAATTTCTCAAACGGCAAACAACAGCAAAGTAATAGCACTTGTCAACGTGTATACATATTTTAAATTTAAACTAAACCTGGCACGAGCCCAAGGAACTCAAGCTCTATAATGGGGAAAAGAAAATACTTTCAGAATTGCTGGTAAAAGCCTAGTGAATGTATGAAATGCTTTGGAGAGGTTTCATACAAGCCTTTATCCTGGCTGTAGGTTGACATGAAATAATAGTTTAGGAGGTGTCAGGGCCACTTGGGATCAAGCTGGCTGAAAAGGGTGTTAACCCGCTAAGTGTATTGGCATGTGATTAGCACTGAGGTCATTCAAGCCTCCCCCTCCTGTAATGTAATGAAGCGCGAGCTCGCCTCGCAGACCTTTTTCGCCTTCTCAAGACATAATTGCTCCAGTCGGTTTGAAGTAATTATATTATGTTTGATTTTGTTGACACTCTGATATTTTTCTGTCTGCGCTTTCAATCCCCGCAATTATGCTCAGTAGACTCGCAGGCTTTGCAAACTGTTCAATTAGAGCCTCGGAATAGAGATGGCAGCAGGATGTCTTGTCGGCTTATTAATATATTTATTACAGTGCACTCTCGCCGAAGGCTTTTCCTCTGTACGGCGAAGCACTGGTTAAACCAAAGTGTCCCTGTCACCTACACACACAGGAAGCAGATTGTGTGTAGAGTGAATACAAAATAAAAACCTGTGATAAAATGTAAAGTTTGTGCATGTGCTCTCATAATTAGAGCTGCAGCTAACGATTATTTTCAAAATCGATTAGTTAGCCGATTATTAAGTTCGATTAATCGGTTAATCGGATAGAAAATAAAATACATTTTTAAAAATGGCTCCGGTGATGGGACTACTAGTTTGTATTGAGATTGCAGTCCATCACAGGAGCAAGCTTGGAGCGGTGGAAGTAAAAAAGAAAGTGTGGTGTGCAATATAGTGAAATGAAAAGTGTAAAATTATATAGCAATGAATGCAGAATGGCACCGGCTAATGAGGACTACAAAACCCAGCAATAGTACATTATACAGCGCAATGCAGAATACCGCCAGCTATAGAAGAATACAACAAATCCCAGCAATAGTACATTATAGCTGGTGGTATTCTGCATTGCGCTGTATAATGTACTATTGTTGGGTTTTGTAGTCCTCTATACAGCGCAATGCAGAATACCACCAGCTATATAGGAATACAACAAATCCCAGCAATACATTATACATACAGTGTATAATGTATTGCTGGGATTTGTAGTCCTCTATAGCTGATGGTACATTGGTCTGTATAATATACAGCACAATGTACCATCAACTATAGAGGAATACAAATCCCACTATCCCAGCCATAGATTATAGAGCACCATGTGGGGAAAGTGCAGGCTTACCTGAGCAGTCTTCCAGCAACCTGTTTCTGAGATGGGGCCTGTCTATCGGCGGCTGTCATCCGCCCACACCTGCTCCTCCTTACTTCTTCTCCCTGCGTCCCTGTGCCGACCGTGGATTTGGGCGGGCAGTGAGCGTGAGGCAGGGAGGAGGTGTGGCGTGTGGAGCATGGATGCGGGCGGGTCTGAGGTGGGGAGGAGGTGTGGCGCGCAGCGTGTGTGGAGCCGTGAACAGGGGCAACCAATCGGAAGCCGATTAATCGATGATTGAAATAGTTGACAACTTTTTCAATAATCGATTATAATCGATTATGTCGATTAGTTGTTGCAGCCCTACTCATAATGAGAAGTTGTGAAATGGACTACAATCTCACATTTAATTTTCTAATTTGTATTGAGATTGTAGTCCATCACGGGAGTGAGCTTGGAGCGGTGACTACTTTATAGTAGGGATGCACCGGTACCAAGTACCGTACTCGGTAGAAGTACAGATACTTTTCGGGCTCCAAGACTAGACTAGAGAAAAACTCAAAAGTTAGGAGGCAGCTGTCATTTGTAAGGAGCACACGGAGCTCCTGGGATTTGTACATCTCTGTTTTAATGTATGATTTTGTTTTTATAAATATATATTAGGGATGCACCGATACCAGTTTTACAAGTACAAGTACTGATACTTGCCCAAGTACTTACAGATACAAGTACTGATTTATTTTTGTTTATTGTCATGTGACAATATTTCTAAAACAATACAGACTAATGATTTCAGGACAGTGGTGGAGCGCCAGAGCCCAGTCACAGCTGCAACTTCTGCAACCCTGGTAGTACTCATGAAAATGCCAAGTATCGGCACTGGTATCTGAACTGGTATCTGGACATCTCTACTTACACAGGGACCATGGGGAATAAAAGTAGCCACCCTCCAGAAGTTGGACAATGTCAGCACCAATTCAGAGATGATTTGAGGATCTACAGCCGAGTGATACACAAATAAGATACATTTTTGTTAATAGTTAGGGTACTTGAATGTATTGTTATGGTTTAACTCCTGAGTTTAGTGTCACCTTAAGTACTGCAGCTCAGCCACCTCCCTGCCACCAGTTTGTTTTTGGAGGATGAAGGGGCAGCAGACTGGTGATTTTGTGTCTCTATTTTCACCTGTCAGTGTTTTCATTGTTAGGATCACTTTACAGATAAGAAGTAATGACCATTGACAAAGGGCTATTAAGCTGAAAAACAAATTGGTCACCGTTGACCAATTGATCATTGGGGATTTGAGAATACTAATTGGTCACCGTTTAGAATCAATAAATTTTGGACAATTTGTTCTCATCTAGATTTATTTCTTCTCAAAGTGCTGTGTGGTTCAGCTCCTTACTTTTCTCCTTGTTGCTACCCAACATGTCACTGATGTTCCCTGGCTTTAGATACAGATCTGCTCACATGATACCACAATTGTTAGGTTCACTAATTAGAGCCTGGTCTACAATGCCCAACTCTCTCTAGGGTAATACCAACTCCTTCACTTAAACCCTTTTGGTGCTTAAAGCCTCTTTGTAGCGGCACAGACTGCACATTCTGATTACTTTTAATGTGCCCTGGGCAACCTGTACCCCACCATATATTAAAGAACTACATATACCATCTACTAAACCAGGAGATGTACTCCTCTTAAACTGTAGATCACCAGGATGCCCATGCAGATAGACAACGTCAGTAAAGTTTTTGTGCTATAAAGTTCCCTGTGTCCTTGAAACGGCGACAATAACGAAAGCTGCATGCATCTACCTAACTTTTGCCATAACTTCAAGAACATATTTTTTTTTATGACTTGGAGGATTTAAAGCAGCGTGTTGCTGAACTTTCCAGGTTCTTGAGGGCTCCGTCGATGTGAGCTGTGAATTTCAATGAGTTCAGTTAAGCAGACGGGTCAGATGTCTAGTATCAATATAGCTGCGCTATTTGGGAGTCTTAATTAAACCCAACAGCAGATTAGTTTGAAGCTTTAATTTAAAATGCATATTGACATAAACATCATTCAGATAAAGTCTAAAGAGCTTTTCTGTTCTTTTTTTTTTGCCTCTTTAGATGTAGAAGACAGAAGTAACTCAGGGTCCTGGGGGAGCAGTGCACACCCGAGTCCATCCCGAGTAAGTATACATTCTGTAGGCATTTTTATATACCTGTCAGATCACCATCCATGCCACAGGGGCTTATGGAAAATATTAAATGTGGAATGATATTTTATTCATGTTACTGACTATTCATGTTGCTGAATATACGTACAGAATGAGTGTTCATGGAGTTTCTGAGAACAAACAGCTTTGCATATTGTGTATAAATACACCCCTTAGTGTTTCTGGCCCCTGCTTAAAAATTCCTTAATGCTGTATATTTGTTGTGTCCATGTATTAGACTAACCCCTTAAAGTGGACTTTTACACTCAAAAATCAAATTCTACCAATGCATCCCTCTATGTATGATGAATAACAATAACATAGACCTGTCAGGTGTAAAATGCTGTGATTATGAAATACTTACACTTGCAGAACATTCACTTCCTGCTTTGAATGGGCAAAATGATTTCAGTTTGCCAAAGCACCAGCAGAGCATTGCTGGGAAATGTCATCTGTAATCTCACGAGATCTCAGGGAAAGGCAATTTTCTCCCTGACATGGTCACATGTCTAGTCACATGTGCCAGAAATCCAGGAAGTAAAATGAGATCAACTAATCTGCCCTTAGTAAACATGGCCATTGTGAGAAGACTAGGGAAGAAAAGAGAAATTAAGCATGCAAAGAATACAAAGCAATCATCTAGAAGTATGTGTTTGTAGATTGTCATCACTAAACATTCCTAAAGGTGTGTTTGTTCTTATTGTAAATATATGGGTAAAGGTCCGCTTTAAGGCTACAAAAATCAGTACTTCACTAAAAATAGTTCATATTGTTTTTTTATAGAATTCTCATCTACACCATATGCTGAATACAGTGTTGTTATATACAGTTAGCTACATATTGGAATATTGCACAGATATAGACTTGTAGCACACAATGCCGTATGGTATAGACTGCAGACAAGCTGAATATAAACAAATAAATGCTGACACTGACCTCAGCCTTTGATAACAGCTCTCAAAACACAGGGTAACAAAGGCAAAGGGAATAGTTAAGTTGCTTGACATCCTGGGATGCAATAAAAGAAGCTCACAAAGCTTTAACCTAAGGATGAGGATCTTTATTTTTAGCCATGTTACTGTAATTGTCAGACCTCATCGGACTCCGCTAAAAAACCCCCCAAAAAACGTTTCTTTTTTAAATACAGATCCTTATTCTGCTCTGTTAGCACCATGAATTTAGTCTAATGTGTTTTAGGAGTTCCGTAGGGGTTTTAATGTTTAGGTTTATTGGTTAGGTTGAGTGTTAGGGGTTAGGGTCTCCATTGGCATCAGATGACAGTGTCAATGTCTGTTGAGGCTCCGGCTTTATGTTATTAGAGTAAATCACATGAGCTCTCCTAATTAGTCCTAGTTAATATTAGAAGAAAATGAAATCGAGTATAAAACAACTGTAACGTATGAACACTTTGTTGAATAATCATTGCAAATCCCAAAAGACAATCCAACCCCCTTTACCCAATCCCAATAAAGGGAAAAAGAGAGCATCCTATGATAAAAGATCAACCACAGAGCTGCATCTTCACACTAACCATCAGCACTTACAGAGAAAAGTATTATATAAATAAATAAAAACATTGTTTCCATCATTATATCATAGAAGAATCAACACTTAAAGAGAACTATGGGGTAACCTTTTTATCCCATAGTTCTCTTTAGGGTCACAGGAGGACATATACTAACCTCCTCCCGTGACCCAAAGCTCAGTATATAGCGGGCTATTGCCTGCTATATACTGATACCGCTGCAGCCAGGAAGGATCCCGACAATACTGTCGAGATCCATCCAGCGGACAGCGGGCTCTGCCTATCTAGAGGCAGAGCCATCTGCGCTCGCCCCCTCCCCTGTCCATTCCACCAGTCAGCACTAGAGGATCGGAGAGGGGAGGCGGGAATCACTGTGGGGAGTGATGACTGACCGCTCTCTACAGGGAGATGATCGGGAAGTGAGCGAGCGACGGTATGTGTTCGTTCACTTCCCGATCAATAGGGCCGACCTGTGACAGTTTCAATATCACACGTTCTTCTCTATGAGGATGAGTGTAGATCACTCACCTCATAGTTCTCTTTTAATGCTGTAATATAATGAGAAGGATGTTCCTAATATTAATATAACATTTAGCTCCATAGATCCTGGTGGATGTTGTGTTCATGCAGCGCTGTGGTTTATCTTTTATAACAAGGCATCTTTTATTGATATTGGGTGAAAGGGCTTTTGTTTGCCTTTTGCGTTTTCATAAATGTATTGAATAATGTAAGGACATGTTCAAATATCTAGACAGGTGCCTTATACTTGATATGCATTTTTTAAATATTAGTTGACAGTCTCCCTTGGCTTTTTTATGATTGAAACGCCAGATACAATTTTATTTCATTAAAGGGTCAATCTAAAAGTGGAAACCAACATGTTTTGAGGGTTTAAAAAATGCCTCCTTCATCAGGTCTTGAAATTATTATTATTATTAAAATGATTATTATTATACAGGATTATATAGCGCCAGCAGTTTGTACAGCACTTTACAAAACTGAGGGAAACAATACAATTAACAAGACAATTTCAGTACAGGAGGTAGGAGGGCCCTGCTCGTAAGAGCTTACAATCTAGTAGGAGGGGGAGACTTCTCATCAGCAGCTAGTAAGGCGGCCAAACCAGCTGCTGCTGAGACCTGCACCTGTTATCACTATTGTAAAATTACCATTAAACAATCTCAGTTATAGTCCATGAATACCGTTTCCCATTTCAAACACTGATGGAGGGCAATTTTTTGACCCCCGAAATATGTTGGATTCTTCTCTTTGATCTTCTATCTGACCCTATACTGGAAAAAATGTTGTATCTGGACTATTAATGTATGTTGTAGAGCTTTAGTCTGAAATCTGCTGCTTTGCACTACAAACCAAGGAAATGATGGGAATCCTCTGGGATGTATAAGCTGCCAGCCCAATAACCAGACAACGTGTACTAACACAATTATAATTCTATTGGCTACCAATGCCAATAGGATAAACTTAGAAGACCAGCACTACCTATCCACCTTCCCAAGTCTGCAGGATTTTTGGCTGGGTTGAGTGATGATCCAGTGTCCATGGGGGGAGAGGGGGGGGGGGGTTGTGCAGCAGCACCCATCTTCTTCTCTATTGTCCTAAACATGAGCACTTGTATGATTAGAGGACGTCTGTTTAGCGGAGAAGCAGGCCCTGGAGACATCATGAGATGCTCAGAAGTAATGGTCAGGTCATAAATATGCTCAGGAATATCACAGGCTTCTTTCACTTCCAAATATGTATTTAAACTCAGTTAAAGTCTATTGGTGACAAAAAAATATGTAACTCCAGAAACAACCAAGTATCCAAACCTGAAAGTCAACTTACGTACAGCAGTCAGAGCCATTGCAATGTACTGGTGAACCCGCAGTGGTTCATAAAATCTAGTATGGAATTTGGGTTTGGTTTTTACAGCTCTGGAATCAAGCACAAGCTTAGCAAAGATGAGATCTTATGAGAAAGCAGCGTGCTCGCAAAGCCAAAACCTCAGGGGTCAGCGTGAAATGACTGTACGGTTTCTGTCTTTTCTGAAGCCTCACAGGACATATGGTTGTTTTGAGTCAAAGCATAAGTCTGGGTTCTGTTATGACTTCCTTTGATCTTGTGATAGCATCTGATACCTGCCCACTCGTTTTCACTAGAAACCACGCTTTAGAAAAAGCCTCAACAGCACATTGATGTGACATCTGTGTCTTGTAGTATTCATGGCTTGCAGTCATGCAAAGCCTGGCATTCATAATGTATCTTATGAAGGTGCAGTCCCATATGCAAGCCTAGGACGGGCATGTGACAGACAGGGTGAGATGTTGCTGTCGCAGCTCTGTGTTTAGCAGTGCGGGAAGCTGTACTGGGATGACAGGTACCTGCCGTGTGGACGATTGGGGCTTTTTATAGAGCTCAGCAGATGAGATTATTATCTGGGCCTTAACATGCATTTGGTACTAGTGCAAAAAAGAGCAGTTGTGTCTGACCGCACTGTGGGTGCTAATGGGTAGCTGGGGGACCTTTGTACCTGGTCAGGCATTTTCGGGTTAAAGAGAACCTGTCCTCATTAAAAAAATGCCATTTACTGACTTGTTTTCGCAGATTCAGGGTGGTTATCATAGGCGACTGCTGAAGTCAGAAGTAATTTAGGGTTCATGTAGATGGACATTGTTTTCCTGATTCTGATGTGCGTTTGAATCGCACATAAAACACAAGTCAGCAAATTCCATTTTACTTCAATGGCACAATGTGGTGGACAGTTCTGATGGTGCATTTTACCAGCCTGCCTAGTCTATTCAGATACGCACGCATTGCAGGCAAAGCAGGTCAACCATGACTTTTTGATGGGTTTTGCGCATGTATTTGAAGGCAAAAGGTAGCTTCGGATAGCACCATACATGTGCATAAGCCTTTTTTCTTTACACCTGTGTGCTGTTGGTTTGTTAAAATGGCACCCTGATGCCCAAATGTAGTAGGTGGAAACCCCTCTCCCCTCCCCAACCACTGCAGCACACAACAAGGAAGTGCTTTAAAAACATACTGCGGGGACATGTCTTTCTTTCCTTGCCATGCATTGGTGGTCCATTCTAAATGAATGGGCTGCCATATCGTAATACAACAACAACATCATCACATCAACAAGCAACACAATGAAATTTAAAAAAACTTGAGGTGGGAGAAATAGGTAATCTTTTCTCCTGAAAATATTGGCCATGCTAATTCTTTGGGTTCAGCAGTTCTGAAGTCTCTGACCTGGGACAAGTATCAGGAGGTAAAGCTTCACTTATGGACTTTTGCTCCAGATCAGTGGCTGAAAAAGCATTGGAGCCACTAGATCAGTATGACTACCAAGCAGCTAACATATTCATAAGGAAATTGTAATGGCAGCCTTTATAGTTCTTTAGGAACAGGTTTCCGCTAAATAATGAAGCAAGAATGACAGCTCAGGAACATGCACATTGCAAAACCAATCAGTAGTGTCGGCTACCCCTTATCTGTCTTTCTTAATCTCCTTCTCTATAATACAATGCACTGTCAGTTACAAAGAGGCATTCTGAATAGAAAAAGCTTCTACTGTTGCTTTCTGTGTGGAGAACCTAGGATGCTCAGTAAAAACAGTGTCATGCATCAGCTGTCAGGTTGCCTTTTGACATGTCTGGATTTGTGGCCATGTGGCCCATATACTATATGTACAGCCTCTGTTACCCACCTCTTTGTTCATAAATAAAGAATTTAAAAAAACAAACAAACAAACAAAAAAACAGTGTCATGGGTGCACTCTGTATGAATTACAGAAGATACAGAGGAATTTGTGTAAAATGAAGATTTTATATATGTGATAATAATAATATTAAACAGTTTAGAATTAAAATAAAATATATAATGTCCTATAAAAAAAATAGAATCCTGGGCTCTTTTTTTAACTTAAACTACTGTACAAAAACATCTTGCCTAATTACACATAGAACTTTTTGTTTTTTTAATGACACATTGTGATTTTATGTGCTTTTTTTTTATTAGTTCCAGTTGCATAAACTGGACATCAGATAAGAACAGGGTGTCCCACCTAGTATGAAAGTTATCCTGTTACAGCAAAATCCTCTGTATATTTTTGACCTTCTTTTGTGTTGCACATTTTATGATGTCAGACTGTCTAAAGTTTGCCAAGTGGGATCCAGCTTTTTTTCCACTGCGTTTAGGGAAATTTGGGAGGATTCTTATTAAAGGAGATGTAAGAGAGATTTATGGGATACCATTGCTGACCTCCTCTTGAAAATGCTGAGCGCCTGGATGTCCATGGCTTTATTACTTTGGGAGTGAGTACGCAGGTCAGAAGTTCTGACATCCCTGGCCACGTGATTGTTCTAGGGCTTTGAGGGTTTGTTCACACCAAAATCAGATGGAAATTGCAAGTCAAAGGAGGGAACGTTGACTTGTAATTGTACCTTTCAACTTCTTTCCGATCCATTGTGTTGCAATCCTTTTTCAGTGGAGGCTAATGGAAGGGCACTGAAAAATGAAAAAATGGGGCTAGTTCACACCAGATCCATTGTATTACGTTGCGCTGAAAAAAGTAGTACTTATTCTCCTTTTTGTTAGTGCATCGCAACGTAACAGAGTGGTGTGAACTAGCCCCATTCACACCCATTAATTTTTTGGTGCCCTTCTGTTAGCATCCATCGAAAAACGTATTGCCATGCAAAGGGTCCGGTGTGAATGGGCCCTGACTCAGATAGTATTGACGTTGAACTCCAGGCAATGATCTACTTGCCCCATTACTTCTCAATGTTCGGTATTGCACAGTATATTAGCAGCCCCCCCCCATTTCTGTATAGCCATGGAGTCACTTCACCTACATTTGTATTGCATGCAACTGTCCCAGCGTTTGCATGCCTGCGTCCTTGTCCGTAACCTTTCCCTCGTCTCCTCTGTCCAGCCTCACTATAACATGGCTCAAAGTTCCATCTTATCCCCACCTTTTCCTCCTCACTCCTAAGAACAAATGTGTCTGATCCCAAGGATGTTCTTAAAAGAGAAACTCGCAGAATTAGGCAGTTAAACATTATGGCACAACAGGGGATGCAGCTAAGCCACGTTATTTACACCATCTTTCAGCAAATCTTACAAGCTGACATTTTGCGAGGTCCGCAGGGTTCTGTGTGTAAATAATGCAGTCCTCCCCACTGCCCGCCGTATTACAATATGGTTATAAAAGACGCGTGGCTCTCTTCCAACTTCCGTTGGTGGGAATGGTGACCAGGGGCTCAGTGCACTTCCTCAAGCGGTAGATCAGCTGGATGGTGAATTGGCGTTGTTTAATATTGCATTAGAAAAGTATTGTGAGTGCTAACTAATGACACTTGCTTCTTCCTTCTGCCCTTCAGAAGCTGTCATGCAGCGTGCAGGCGAGTGTGCATAGCCATCCACCCCGGAGGTGGCTGCATGTATGTTAACCCGCTTTTTTTTTATCTTTGCTTTGTCTTATCTGTTGATTATTGCATGTTTCATGTGGAGCTGTCACTTGGAAAATGCTGCAGAGGAGCACAAAAAAAAGCTGCAAGCAATACTGAATTCATCTGTAATTAGATTTACCCTTTATCAGTTTAAAGCAATGTTTCCAAAATCTTGGTCATAGTTTGATCGGTTGAAGCTGAACTCCAGGCGGGTTCTCTTTTAATGCAAGCAGTGTAAGTACTCAAACCTGTCTTGCTATCAGCCTCTTGCTGTTTCCTGTGCTGCAGAGCTGAGACTATGAGAGGGAGAAGCGGCACAAGGAGACAGTCAGCTGTACTTGAAGATACATGCTGATAAAAGGGGAGGGTAGGATGACGGACAGATGAGGTCATCAGTCTGCTGCTTCTCCTTTCACTGTCATGTCACAGGTTGGGGGAGGTACAAGATCTGTATACAGGATAGATCAGGGCTCAAAATTTCAAGTCCTGAGCTACTAGCCAGGCCTTAAGAGTCACTAGCCACCAGTTGCCCCACCTAACCCTTACCCTGCCCCGGCCTTAACTCCGCCCCTAAACACACCCTCTTAAATAATATTATGATCATTCTTATCTTGTAAACGGCAGATTAGAGATTCCTGCTGCAGGAAAACGCAAGTTACTGACACAGGAATCTCTAATCACACCTGAAATATACTGTAGGTGTGAATGGGGCCTAATATACACACTAAAGGTGCCCATACACCTGCCGATTATCGTACGATAATCGCGGGTGATCCCGCGATCGTATGATAATCGCCAGGTGTATGGGCAGCGTGTGACCGCTTCTACTGTAAGGTCGTACGACTTTTGTCTTCCAAGCACGCTGGAAAAGCTGCCGAAAATCGTACGATTTTTGGCGGATTGGTGGCATCGTCGGAAGATGAATGCCACACGGGCCGGTGTGCGCAAGCGCACACTGCCCGCTCAGCACTGTCCAAGATGCCTGTCCAAGATGGGCAGATCGTACGAGATTTTAACGACCTTACAACCATCGCACAACGAAAGTCGTGCGATGGTTGTAAGGTGTATGGCCAGCTTAAAGCACAATAATACACTGCTCAACAATGTTACACCTCTCCCCCCACCCCCCCACACAAATATAATAATAAAATCCCCCACACACACAAA